TTCCAATGTTCCTATGTTAATACATTATGTAACTGGGGTTCATTTAACACATTTATTGTGCCCTTGTATTTGAAGTCTGAAAGAAAGATCAGAATCAAGTATGATTCCATCATTTTTTGGACTCGACCAAATGAAAGAGTGGAGTCACTATTAATAATCTGGAACTTACTAGAAATCATTGTGTCCCATATATATTGCAAACTTCAAAAATCATCAGTTCTACAATTCTCAATACCACTTAGAGTAAGTTATCTAATTCTCTATTTTTCCCATACACGTCCTCCACTAGTTGCACCAAGTTCTGAAGATATAGATGTATGTTTAGTCATTAAACAGATGTATGATTTTTTGAACCACCCAGATTTGATGATCACTTTAGCAGTGAATAGAGGATGGGTGCAAATTTTTTTAAGTTTACCTGTGCCTCTTTCACTGTTGCTTTTTTAGAATTATACCTTATATCTTGAACAGTATTGTAACCTAACCACGACGACATTTTGAGTTCTTCAAGGATCATTGGATTCCCTCACATTAAGCTTTCAGACACATCTGCCTGTCAGTGATGATGCCAGAGGTACTCATTTTTCATTGAAGGGAAGAGCTAAAGTTTATTTTATACTCGGGTTTTATTATTCTTTGACCCATTACATCTTTTTGATAATATTCTGGACACTATTTGAATGTCTTTGAAGGATACGGAAGGCTTTCTGATAGCCGAGGTAGAAGTGTGTCTAGGTGTTTACATATGGGTAAATGATATTAAAAAAAAAACATAGGAAGTTCAACCTATTTTTTTTTTAAGAACTTACAGGAAAAGCAATAGTCAACATGTCATACAGGTTAAAAAAGAAAGAAAATCCAATCAACTGCTCAGTAGGATCAAATTCCCTTCTGCTCTTATATCCTTAGGCATGTCACAGAGCAGATCTAATTCCTTTGTTTTTCATTTCAACATGAAACTTGAAACTAAAATAAAGCCAGATCATTTGTGCCTGGGTTGAAAAAAGGCTCAAAATTAGCCTCCCAGGAGCAATAATACAATATCTTACTATTTGCTGCTGGTTGTATGATAGTCACCATATACTATTGGTTCAAGGACAAGAGGGAAGACCCAGTGGCATGTGGTCAGTCATTCTCTATACTGACCAAAGGGAAAGATCATCATTGAGCTCTAACCAGCTCTTTTGGTTCATTGTGCAGAGCACAGATGTTCTCTCTGACTTTATTTTGCTCCTGTCATCACAAGCTTGAAAAGAAACAAACTTCAAGCGCTGTATTTTGCTTATTGAGTCACATACATGTACTTCAACACAGTTCCCCCTTGCACTCAGGTGCACAGCTAGACTATGTTCCCACCCCTTTCATAATCAGGAGGGGCCATGTGCCTTAATTCTGACTGATAGAATTGTGTGGGAATGGCAAGGCTCTGAGTTTTCATGGAGTCAAACATACCTAAATAACTACATGAAAAGCCACGTTACTAATCTGATCCACACCTATTAGAACTGTTTATAAGTGAAAGATTTTGGTTGTACTGAAACTGTGCTATCAACAAGTCCACATGACATTTAAGACCACTTACACCAGCGGTTCTCAACCTGTGGGTTGCGACCCCTTTGGGGGTCAAACGACCCTTTCACAGGGGTTGCCTAAGACCATCGGAAAACACATATGTAATTACATATTGTTTTTGTGATTAATCACTATGCTTTAATTATGTTCAATTTGTAACAATGAAAATACATCCTACATATCAGATATTTACATTACGATTCAAAACAGTAGCAAAATTACAGTTATAAAGTAGCAACAAAAATAATTATGTGGTTGGGGATCATCACAACATAAGGAACTGTATTAATGCCTTCATTTCTCTAACCCAGCGGTTCTCAAACGACCCTTTCACAGGGGTTGCCTAAGTACATCCTACATATCAGATATTTACATTACGATTCAAAACAGTAGCAAAATTACAGTTATAAGTAGCAACAAAAATAATTTTATGGTTGGGAGGTCACCACAACATGAGGAGCTGTATTAAAGGGTTGTGGCATTAGGAAGGTTGAGAACCACTGACTTACACCTTGTCAGACGAGTTTTCTTTCGCATGGCATTTTGTTTGGCAGCATATTTTCTAGCCATAATAGTATGCTATTTATTCTAAATTCTCCAAAGTCATTTAATACTTCCTTTTTCATATCGCTGCCTTTTGTCAAGGATACCTTTTCTTGGATTGTGTTTAAGTGCCAGGAAAACTGTACTCAGCCTTTTTTAGAAACTTTGCCAATTCTAGTAGTGAAAATAATTGCTCGTGTATACCCCATAGTATCTTTTTAAATTGTTTTTATTTTTTCAATTATTCTTTATTGTTGAAAGTATTACATATGTTCCCTTTTCCCCCCCATTGACCCCTCCAGCCCGCCCCTGCCCCAGGTCTTTGGCACCCTGTTGTCTGTGTCCACCCGATGGTACCTTTTGCTCAACTGTTACAGCTCTTATATCTATCTCACCAATAGTTATCAGGCAAAGACCTGGCATATCTCAATTAAAACCTGATAAATGAGAAATACATTAAAGAATATACAGGAACTCCATTCTCTTATATTTTAATAAGAAGCCTATCTACTGGTTTTCTGTTTGTTGAAATCTCATTCCCTGAGATTCTGGTATTTGTGTTCCTCCCCTATGTGTAGAAAATGCAGGGTGATAGAAAATACGTTATTACCTAGGCCGAGAAAGAGAGAGAGAGAGAGAGAGAGAGAGAGAGAGAGAGAGAGAATGAGTGAATATAAATATTAAACAAAATCAGGACTTCTAAGAGATATTTGTACACTCATGATCATTTCAGTGTTATTCACAATAGCCAAGAGATGGGAGCTGCTAAATTGCACCTCAGTGGATGGATGGGTGTTTTTTAAATTAACATATACATATAATGGAAGATTATTTAATCTTAGATAACAAGGAAATTCTGACAGATGCTACAATATGGACAAACATTGAGGACATTATGATAAATGAAATAAGCCAATCAGAAAAGGACAAATATTATGTTATCCACTTATATGATTTAGCCAGAGTAGTCAAATTCATAGAGACAGAAAGTAAAATAGTGATTATCACATGCCTGATGAGAGGGGAAAATGGGGAGTTTTTCTTTAATGGGTATTAAGTTTCAGTTGAGGAAGATAAAAACAGCGTGGTGATGGCTGCACAACAATGTGAATGTATTGAATGTCAATGAACTGAACACTTAAAAATGGTTAACATGGTAAATTTAATTTTGTTATGTATATTTTACCACACTTTTTAAAAATTCAAGATTCTGCAAAGTTAAACAGCACATCTTTTTTTGGCACATTTTATTCCTAGGATTTAAAGAACGAAGATTAACTTAAAAGGTGGCCAAGTGACACTAATTACCAACATTAACATGACTAAATTTAGGTGGCATCCATGGAAGACACAATCTTTAGAGCATGCATCTTGAAATTTTGAGGTGGTAAACCTTGAAAATGTAAGAACAAGAGGACAGATTATTTTACTTCATATTCCTCTTTCCCCAAATTTATCACTGCTACCTCATTGTGCTAAGCATTTCTTGGTTATTACATGTAAATATTTCTCTTCTCAAGACTTCATAGATTTGACTCTTGGAGTTTCAGGAAAACTAACCATTCACTCTTTCTGAGATAACTTGGTAGTTTTTAAGCGGCTGAACTGCGGTGAGGTAGGAAGTACTTGTTTCAAGTTCATTATTCATGCCCTGCCGAAGGAAAGTGGAAGCAGTAAGTGCTGAGAAGGGTTATAAATGTGCTGGGTGGTTAATTTTTAAAAAAATATGTTTTGTTGATTTTTTACAGAGAGGAAGGAAGAGGGATAGAGAGTTAGAAACATCGATGAGAGAGAAACATTGATCCGCTGCCTCCTGCACAACCCCTACTGGGGATGTGCCCACAACCAAGGTGCATGCCCTTGACCAGAATCGAACCTGAGAACCTTCAGTCCGCAGGCCGATGCTCTATCCACTGAGCCAAACCGGTTAGGGCTGATTTTTAATTAAGAATAAAATAAAATGGAGCAGGTGTCTCTGGGACAAGACAATAGAACTGGACATCTGAAAACGATGGCATATTTTACCTCTGAATACTTGTAACTATCTGGGAATTGTTGCAAATAGTCTATAAATTAAAGAACTCTGCAGTGCATTTTGTGAGTCACCTTGGAATCCTCTGCAGCTGCAAAGCTCATGCACTTTCTAATTTGCCTTCCGCATGGAGTTAGTTTCTAAATCATTTTTTGTCTATATTTTGCCCTGTTTTCTTTCTCCTTGACCTTTCTAATTCCACTGATTTTTTTGAAATAGGTCATTCTGTGTTTCAAAAGAATGTATTTTTAAGTGAAGTTTATCTAACTGATTAAGATACACAGTAAGCTAAATCATTGCTGCAAAGTTTCCTCATTCAAGAAATAATGTTTAATTTTTCATTTCATTTAGTTTGCTGTGTCTGCTGCAGCTTTTTCTAATTTCATTATCATTCTGTTTCCTTTGAATTTCCCTTTAGTTTCTCTATCCTTTGTCATAATGTCACATTCTCTATTCTTTTATCCTGTTTCTTTTACAGCGTGCATCCTGATCATTTGTAAATTTCAGTGTGCCCTACTTTCTCTATATTCTTTATTCCAATTTATTTTCATCCTCTTTGTAATTTTCAGTTCCATATGAATTACCACACACTAAAAAGGAAATAATAATTTATGTTTTTAGAACCTTTTAAATAACAGTCCCTATGCTGAGCATTTTTCTTTACAGTAGATAGTGTCATTTTTATTTTTAAATTGGGAGACTCAAGAGAGATTATGGAGTGTATCCTGTAGTTAGATAATGATGTAAGAGTTTCACCTGCATAAATGGGCTTCCTGGAAGTAATGCGTGATAGCAATAGTAGGACAATCTCCTAATATGATATTATTCTTTTCTCTTTCATTTTTAGGGAGCATTTCTAGTGTCATCAGTTTCATATGCAATGACTAGACATTTGGCAGCAGTTAGGAGAGAGGACACTCTGAAGGGCTGAGCTGGAGACACCGTGGACCTGTCCATGGGGGGAGTCCTTGAGCTCTTAGTGATGGTGAGTGATCATCTGCCTTGTTCCTGAATTCTTCAGGCAGGTAGACTCACTCAATGGACAAAACCATGTATATATGTCCTTCACCTTTATGCTATGATCCAACTTCTCTAACACCCCAATCAGTTCTTCAGCTTCTTGGCTTTTCTTACCATTTATAGTGTTATTCATCCTTCAGGCTTTATACTCAGACCCTTTTTGCTATCTTAGACGTTTCACTTCCTCAGTCATAATGATCTTCTCCCTAAGCCTATAGTACTTTAGCTTCTCATGGTAAATATTTCATTTATTTCAGCCTGGGCTCATGAACCTTACATTTTAGTGCAACTTCTTATGAGAAATTCCCCTAGATGTGTTGGCTCTGCATTTCTAAGACTCAGGGAAGAAATCTAATTGCTATGGAACTTTTTCAGCCATTGTAAACAAAAAAGCAGAACTAACAGTTGTTGCTGCTCTTGCCTGTTAATTAAACCAGTTTCTATAACATTGCATTAATAGTTCATGGGGGGGGGGGGAAGGAGTAATGAAAAATTCAATAAGGAGAATTTTTCTTACCTTCCTTGGATGAGGGCATTATACCCTTGTATATGTGCGTGTCTCAGGGATTCTCACTCAGAGATTACTTAGCAATTAGAGAATGGTGAGAACTATAATTCGAGGTCTTTCTGGCATGGCTGCATTGCTACACCTTTTATTAGAAAGCCAGATTTATACATGATCCAATATAAGATGTTCTGTGTCTTTGGGATCCAAAATTATAATCTTTACACATGATTTTGCCCAAGTGAAGCTGACTGGAAAGGCATGAGGCGAGGTCATTATCCACTAGGTCCACTGTTGGCTATTGGGGTCGGGTGTGCATGTATCTTAGCTGATAGATGCTTGTAAGAAAATTTCTTAATGCATTAGAGAAAACTGGCATCTATAATTTATCAAAACAGCCCCTTGAAAAGTGAATAAAATAGCCACATCATTTTTAAATCATAGGTCTCAGACTTGCTTGTTAAAATAAATGTTACTCATTTTGAAAAGATATACTTGCAGTTCTAGTATGTAATTTCATAGCTTTTACGACTGTGTTTCTACTTTAAAATTGTAACTTATTCTTTTATTGAGACATGTAATTGTAACTATATTAAAAGTAAAATAAATATTTTTGCCAGTACCTCCAAACATTCCTCCAAAAAACCCCCTAAACACAGCAGTTTAAAATATGTATATGTATACTAAAGAGCATCTCTACTGAAGAAATAGACATATGCAGTATTGTATTAATGCAGGGTATGTTGTGTATTATATTCAATAAAGAAAACATTGAAAAAATTTATAAAGCTAATTATAACAAAGTCAAGGAGATGAGCGAGGATAAAAGAAAGAATAACACAAATGAAAGAAGCAAGCCCAAACAGCAGAGAAGTTACAATGAGATACAAGGGAAACTTAAAGAATGATAATGACCCACTAGCCAAACTCACAATAACAACAACAAAATTTATTTTTTCTAATTACATTTAATTGGAAGTTGTTTGACCAAAGTGCTTAAAGTGGAATTGTGCCATCTTTGAAAGAACACATATTCCTAAATAGCCAGTTACTGTGTACAACTAAATTTAACTACTGTTAACCCATTTTTAATTTCCATAATGAGGTAGCTGGTTCCTTCCAGATCAATGGCTCCCTTGTATTTCAGTAACTTCTGTACATATGAAACCTGTGGCATTAGAGCTCCAGTCAAGTAACAGAAGTAGCAACTGAAGAAAGAAAAGGGGTCATGGAGTCAGAGAGGTGCTGCACTGTAAAACTCGTCTTTTTTCTGTGCAGGGAACAATCCCCCCAGGTAGCTCAAATGAAAGAACAGTCCTATACACTCTGTCACAGCAGAATTTTTCTGGGGAAGAAAAAAGATTTTGGCTAATAGTCCAATTCTGTCCAATTTCACTGAAATTCATCATTACTCCTTGCAAGTTGATAGTTACTCAAAGCCCTTAGAATTTCTGTGGACTTAGCAGGTTTTTGAAACCTGTATTAATTCGATGTCTTATAGATAAGCGCTGGTTTCCAGATCCATTCAGCACTTAGACAAAGATCCCTTGTTGTCAGAATGCTGAGCAAGTACAGTGGGGCCTTGACTTACGAGTGCCCCGACTAACGAGTTTTTTGAGATACCAGCTGTCCCTCCGCCGATTTTTTTGCATTGAGTTGACAGAGTAATTTGAGTTAAGGAGCTCCTTAATGAGCTTGGTCTCAGAACGAATTAAACTCGTAAATCAAGGCCCCACAGTAATCTTTCTTTAAAAACCCCTTAACAACAAATTTAATTTTGGAGAATTAATATAATCCATCTCCAAATATTCTTATAGATGATATTTGTGACCTTGAGTTAGGAGAAAGGACAAGCAGAATATAAAACCTAAAAAAGTCTGTTGTGAAACACATTTCATGAACAGACTTGGCTGTGAAAAGAAGATATGGGTTTTTTTTCTTGTTCTTTAAGCAAGTGGCCGCGTTAGTGTGTAGAATGTGCTCCATCATGCATAGCTAAATCTCATTTCAGTTACACAGTTTATGTTCATAAGGATACGACATTATAGCCTGAGATAATTCTATGAAATATTTAATGAAAGTCATTGTTCATATTATTATGGAAAGTTAGAGAGAGTGTATAAATTTGATAGAGCTCCTTCCCATTCGTTACCTATCGCCACAGGGGGTGGTGGATGGGATTCTCTGTATGGAATCAGTTCCAATTCCAGCTCTGTCACTTGCTAGCTGGCGACTTGGGCATATCACTTAGTTCTTTGATTTATAGTTTTTCATGTTAGAAGTGTTAAAATAATATAAAATTCACAGAATTGCTGAGAGTTTTAAAAATACATCCACATCTATATAGTGTCAGTGTTTCAGCAAAATAGGGCCCCACTCCCTTCAACAATTTATGAGAAGTTCTGCTGCTTTATTCTCAAATTCATCATCACCCATGCCCTAGTCTGGGCGAAGGTAGCGGTATTAAATCATCTCTGTATCAATGATACTGTGTGTTTTCCCGACTGGATCCTGCCAGATACAATCATTTAATCTCCCTGTGAAGGATTAAGTCACAGACTTTTCTTTTTATTTGGTTTTTGTCTCTTAAGTTATTCATAGTGTACCACATGCTCCTGGTTAGCATAGGTTTATAAGAGTTGTAATGAATGAAGTGATTATGTACTTTTTTTTGTTTCACATTAGGAAAAGCTTCATAAATCTAATTTTACTGTACGTTAGCTGTGACACATCTTCTAAATTATATTTATAAGTAATTGCACATAGTGTAAAGTACTTGGACTTTTTCAAATTATGTCTATAAAATCACATTCTCATTCTGTTCTCACTTTTCAAAATTATATTTTAATAGCTTCAGTGCCCTCCGACGCCATAACAATATAATTATTTTGGATATATTGTGCTTCGTGCCTATTTTCTATTCATGAACCATCTGTGTTATTGAAAACCTTGCAATTAATACTTAGGATTTAATGAATTACTAGAGAGAAAACCCCTCTGCTGTGACACATTGAAGGACTGAATTATTTCCCACCAGTGAAAATATAGAGCACAGGTATTTTACACAGGTGCCCATTTATATCCATCTTTTCTCGTGGTTTACTGGATGGGTTGTAATCACTCTTAATTTGGAGACAATTTTGTTCAACTCTGTGCAGTTGATGAATGGTAAAGTTTCATGTTCAGCCTTGAGGTTAAAGAGGAAGGGTTATAGAGAGGCTTGTTTCGTTAGTCAGGATAAGTGATGTGAGCTGCTGCAACACACTCTGAGATCTCAGTGGCTTGCATACACAAAACTTGTTTTTTATTGCTCACTCCAGTGAAGGGTCTCCTTTCTGAGACACAGGGATACAGGCTTCCTCAAACTAGTGATTCAACCACCCCAGCATATGGATTCCTAGATCAATCCGGCAAGGAAAAAAAGAGCTAGTGTTTTCACACAGGATGTTTTCAAGGGGCAGAACTGAGAAGTAGTTTACATCCCTCTGCCTGCTGCCCTGATGGGCACCCCATATCATTTACCTAATCTAATTGCAAGATAACCTGGGAGAGCACATGGAACATTTGATGAATGCTTACTCTGTGCCCCATATCTGCCAAATAGGTGGGGATGGGCATCAGGAGATGAACCTGTCTCCATATCTATGCGCATCAAGTTTCTTTGCCCTGTAATACCTGGATTTCTTTCCTGAAGAGTTCCTGCATAGCTCTTTTGCTAAGTGATTGGTAGCCTACTCTTGTCATAAAGCCTTCCCAGTTACCTTCATGCAGTATAATTGCTCCTTTCCTACATTCTCATATTTTATTTTATACTCGAGGCCCAGCACATGAAATTCGTGCACATGTATGGTCCCTAGGCCTGGCCTGCGATGAAGGCCATCTTCCCTGGCTGCCTACAGCTGGCTCTGCCCCCCACCGCCACCCACCCTTGGCTCCCTTTTCGCCATCCAGTGATTGGTGCCTGATGGCCGGGGGAAGGGACTGAGAGATCGGCTGTTCCTGCCGGCTCACTGGCCCCACCCCTGCCATGGGTCATCCTCTGTGTGTGGGGTGACTGGCGGGGCGGGGGCCTTGGCCTGGCACTGCCCGCATCATCCACCACCCACTGCTGGTTCCCCTCCCCATTCGCCATCAGGCAATTGGAGCCTGCCGTCTGGGTAAAGAGACCAAGAGGTGGTCAGCGAGTCTCATAGTGACTGGTCCAGCGGTCGTTCTGGTCATTCTTCCTTTAGGGTCATTTTGCATATTACCCTTTCATTATATAGGATTATGACTATCAATTAAACATTCACTTTATTGCAGCCTATAAATATATATGTAATTCCACCCCGAACTCTACAAGGTACATATTATCACTTTTCTATAAATGATGACATAGAGAATTGAAAAAATTAAATAACGTGTGCCACAATATAGTACTGGCAAGTTTCACAGTGAAGATTGCTTGAAGTCAAGATCTG